TAGAAATATATGTTAAAAAACTCATTATATAATATTATAATTATATTACTTTTCGTTATTTCCAATCAACTTAGGCTCATCTCTATTTTTGCTATTTCTGGTCAACTTAGATGGCGTACAAAGAAGGAACTGTATATATCGATGGAAACAATTTTTTTGAACAGTACCTGAAATTCAATGGAAACAATTTAGGCCAAATTATGTTACTGTTTTAATAATTTTTCAAGTCAAAAGGTAAAGGATTTCTGGAACTTCAAAACTTAAATTATATATTAATAATAATCAATTTTTATAATTATACACCGCTCACTACCATGCTCTTCCGATACTGTTTTTTAGGACATTACACACGGCCCGTGTTTCAAAAAAGAATCATGCAGAAGAGACCTTCGCCGAGAGGGAAAGTGAGAGAGGGGGAATGAAACTTGTCCTGAGATATTTTCATTGAAAATTTGATTTGTGTAACATCCCGCGTTACCAGATAGACAAGGTAAACACAAAAGTTGTGACAGATTTGACTGTCAATGCATATAATAAATGCAGGGTATTTTTTATGGATTTTTTTATGTTTTTATATTACAAATTAAAGATATAATAAATATTTTTTTATATAATTAATTTACATAAAAATTAATAAAAATTAACTTAAATTTAAATAATTAATTAATTAAAACTATTAAAGTAATTTTGACACTAAAATTAAAGTTAATCTTTGTTATTTTTATATAAATTAATTATTAAAAAATATATTTATTACACTTTTATTTTTTATCTTATTATTAGAGACTAGATTAGGACATGTGCATATGCTAAGCTCCTCGAGAGTAGTGAAGAGCGACAGCTCACTTCGTAGATACTTTAATCTAAGGCAATCTTGAATAATTAGTGATTCAAGAGAGGAGCAGTCTCCCAACCAATTCGGTAATATCTCCACTTCGTTGAATTTTGATATTGCCAACTCTCTTAGAGCAGTAAGGTTTAGGTTTGAATTTGATTTGGTCACTCAATTAGTTTTGTCCATCCAGTCAAATTCAGATAGTCAAGGGAGGCCTGGAGGTTGTGAAGTTCTCATCAACCAGGACATTGGCCAGTTTGAAGTTCTATCTACCAATGAAGCTTAGGCTGTGCAGATGGCATAGAACTACACCAAGTAAACAAAATTTCCTTAACAAAAATGAAAACTAGCATTTCCCCAAATTCTTCTAGATTTAGGTGATTGTAGCATTTCCCTCTCCAAATTGAATTTCCTTCAGATTTTAGGATGGCCAGAGTTAGAGAGACGATGTGGCAAGGAAAGTGGTCCCGAGTGGTACAAAATTTCTCACATTCCAATCATCTTAATAAATGGAGATGACATATAATCACAAGATTCAGGTCTTCCAGAGGCAAATGGTATGTTTCATCTCTGAAATCCCAACTCCTATTTTTCTCATAACTCCACACTTTGTAATTTATGAATTTCCAACAACTAATTCTCTCCTCATTCTCTCAGTCTGTCAATTTATCAATCAATATGAACATCTTTGTATGAATGCATTATGATTCAGCACCAACAATGACATTTTACCTGTCACTACTTTCTTTAGTCTTCTTCCACTTTTCTTTCAAGCTATTTCTCTGCATGTAGGAGTATTTATTTGCCAGCAAATTCAGCAAAAAAAAAATGTTCTGCAGGAAAATCCCATGCATCAGTGCATGTGATGCATGCACAAGCACTTGAGGTACGTAGCAGCAAATTAAGATTTTTTTACCACAAAGATGTAATATCATGTAACCACTACAACTAGAACTGCCCTTCTGTAATAAGAGCAGGATCAGGGAAATTCCCAAAAACAATACCTTGGCTCAAACACCAAAAATAACTAATTTCATTCATGCCACATGATTTGACCAAAGATTCAAATGCTAAAGAAGAAGTTTCAAACCCAAATATCTTAAGCATTCTTGTCTGAAAAGACAATGACCTAAGCTAATTGATGGTATATAAGGTTCATTCAGAGCACATATTTTTACTTCCTCTAAACATGACGGTTGAGCTGAAACATAACTAAAACGTATTTTCAATGGCAAACAGCTCCAATGCCGTTGAGTCACTTCATAAATCAACTCATGCAAACTGCAAACAGATCAGTTATGTTGCGAGTTAATCACAATCACCAGTCCCACATTAGAATTGACTTCCCTAATCCACTCACATTGCACAAAGATGAGCACATTCCAATACCAGACACATACACTTCCTACTGGGAGAGAAAAAAGAGACAGGATCAAGTAAATTTATAAGGAAAATGGTGTATGGAGAAAAAAGGAGACCCATCAGAACTTCCGATCCGAGGCCAGCACCGGACTCAATGTACCGGCGGTGATTTCTGACCCAAAGCATTGACGAAGCCGGCCGGATCTTCCTCTGCGTGGCAGCCTCATGGCTCTCGCCATCGCTGGATCCACTGTGCATGCCCGAGTCAGAGCGATCTGATAACGACAGTGGACTAGGAAAAGTTTGATTTTTCTTTCTCGCTCTTTCTCCGTAATGCTCAAAACATTGGCTCTCGACATTCTTCGCTGCGATTAAGAGGAGTTCCAAAGAGGGGAAGCGCTTTATTTTGTATTTTCATTTTCCAATTTTTTGTTTACTGATTTTAGAAAATGTACACAGAACAAAATTGCAAATTTATTCCATGATTCTAATGTTTTTCAAGTATTGCCCCTGGATTTTTGAAATGACGCTATTCTCTCTCAGGCTTTCGGGATAGCATTTGATAAGCACAGGATAATTCCCCAAGTTCTTTTTTTTTTCTTTCCTAATATAATTTAGTTTTTCTTTGATATTTTTACCCCCAAAAAAAATGTGAACCGCACATTTTCTAATAATTAATAGGGAAATCTATGCAAAGCAGATAGCAAAACAGCTACCTTTATATTTTAATTAAACCTCTAAAAATTAAAAGTTTGGTGAGACTGGGCAGGAGGCCAACTGTCCATCTTTTCATCCCTTGCTCAAAAAGGCCTAACACAGCATATGTTTTTAACTGCATTGAATAACAAAATTTCATTCTAGTAACAGTTAAACCAGATTGCAGAAGCATAGTCAATTGGTCCCATGGAGGAATATCTTTCTTTGTCAATCCAAGCCTTCGCAATTTCTCACACATTCAATTATCTTGTGAGCAAGAAAAGAGGAGAGATCCAATGAAGGAAAAAGGAAGACCTAGTGAAGAAAACAAAAGTTTGATTCTTTGATACGAAGAACAAGAACAACGAAGTTGAGAAAATCCAAAAATTCACAAACATGAACACCCGCT